CGGGGCGGTGGTAGACCCAGTGGTGGAGCCGCTCGCAGCACAGCCCTGGTCAGTGGCTCTCCCCTGCCTCTTGCCACCAGGCTTGGCTTTGTGGGGCTTGTGGAGCTACTTGGAGTGCAGCCTGGTGGCAGGAGGTGGGGGAGAGCCAGGGCTGCTCAGCCTGGTGGTGGAAGGCAGCCGGAGAGCCAGTGGCGGAGCCGCTCCGAGTGCAGGCCTGGCTCCGAGTGCAGCCTTGGTGGCACTGGGCTCTCCCTGGTGTTCGGGGCAGGCCACAGTGATGGAAGGGGGTTACTGCCACCCTAAAATTCACTGTAGCCTGCCCCCCACCTGCCCTCCTAGCACTACCACTGAGTGCAGGCCTCCTGGGGGGTGCGGGCCCCCAGATCTGCCCACGGGATGACAGGAGGTTGCCGCTGGTGCCTGGGGCCAGTGACAGCAGCAGTCTTCCCGGCGCTGGGCATGGGTTCTGCCCATTGCTGGTCCCTGGTGGCAGCAACAGCCTCCTGTCAACCCACATGCAGATCCGGTGGCCCGCACGTCCGGGAGGAGTCTGACACAGACCCACAGGCCTCCTGGGGGTGCAGGCCCCTAGATCTGTGCACAGGATGACAGCAGGCTGCCACTGCTGGCAAGTGATGATATGAGTTTTGCTTTCAGCTGTTTGAGGTGCAATTTCAACCCCCTGCATCTATCTCCTTGAAACTTGGCAGGCATCATGCCCTCAGAAGAGGCTGCCATCCCTGCAATTTGCATCCGAATCAGGCAAGAAATGATGAAGGTATAGGCATTTTCATGATTCCTCATTATAGCCTATGCGTGAAACATTGAAATGCATTGAAATAGTGAAATAGTTTCGACAAAATGAAATGAAACAATGCTTTGAAACAAAACAAAATGAAACAATGAAATGAAACAGTCCCTTTGAAATGGTGAAACAGAAGTTAAAACAAAATGGTGCTGTTTCACACACCTTTATTATGTAACCCATGCAATTACACATGAAAGCTTAACTTCAGATTTGTTCTTATTTAGAAACTAACTGGCCTTACGCAAATTTGGTATAGGAAAGAATATGCTTCCTGGGCGAACACTTGACAAGGCCGAATGCCAGTTTTATAATATGTTTATATGCAGGTTAGAGCTAGAAGGTAATAAAATGATCAGATCTAGAGATTTATAATAGGAAAAGATAATAGGCCTTTTAAGATTGAATGGTTTGGTGTTTATACAGTACAGTAAAATGCATGAGAATGGGAGGCAAGCAGAGTTAGTTATACAGTAGTTATAAGTTTGGAAATAATGTGAAAATTATTTATGAAATAACATGAAAATTAGAATCTCTTTTCTTGTTTGTTGCCTAGGCTGAATAATTCTGATTGACATTTGGAGGTTTGGGGAAGTTGTTTGATTTGACATGGTGGCATTGTCACTTACAATCACTTAGGTCCCCTCTACATGTTACACTTAAGGCGAATTAACCAGGTAATCACATCTGAAGTTGTGACCCCAACACACGTTCAGCCTATTAATGGCATGATAAAACGAGCAATAAACTACAAAGTTATTCGACAAAAGATGTGTGATAACTTGGTAGCTTGTTCATATCATGCCATTAATTAAACATGTAGCCAGGCCCTGTGGCTGGGAGCCCCATCAAGTGGGGGGCTCCAAGCCACAGGGGAGCACCACCAGCTGCCACCCCTGCAGTTGATAAAGCTCACTCTGGTGGCAGCCTTGTCAGCTGTGGGGCTTGCAGTGGGGAGAACGCTGCCCCAGCATGAGCCTCCTTGCCTGTGGGGTTTTCAGTGGAGGCAGCATTCCACTATGCTGTCCTTGCTGTGAGCCCCACAGCCCACATCAATGTGAGGCTCACAACAACAGCAGTGGGAAGAACTCTTCCCCCACTGTGACCCTCCTGAGATGCAGGGCTTGCAGGGAGGGCAGTGTGGGGAAACACTGCCCCCTGCTGTGAGCCTCATGTAACAGAGCACAGGGTGTTGGGGAGGATGGTGTGGTGGGACTGCTGGTGGTGGGGCTGTCCTCGGGAAACGCCACACTGTGCCTCCCTAGTGAACAGTGAGTATGTGGCACTGAGAAAAAGCCTCAGCCCCACTTGCCTTGTGGGTGACCCCATGTAGAGGAAAGGCTAGGAGAGCACACCTTGAAGAACAAAGCAGGAACCCAGGCTCACAGTGAGTCCTGAGGCAGAGCCCAGGTCAGGAAGGGACTTGAGGCAGTTCCCAGGTTCACTGTGAGCTCTGAGGTTGCATTAAGGAGCCAGGTGTGAGGCTTCAGAGGAGTGAGGCCCTAAGCCAAGGGAGCTAGATGTGGGGTTCCTCAGGCAAGGGGATAAGGGGATTTTTAAGGCCCAGGGTAGGGCCAGGGATGAGGCCCCAGTGCGGGGGCATGGGGGACTGAGGGGGTCCTGAGTTGGGCATGGTGCCCAAGAGGGTAGGGGCTTGGAGCCCTGAGTAGGTAGGGCCTGGGAGCCCCAACTGATTGAATGAGAGCCCAGTGTGTGGGCACAGAGATTATGAGCTCCAGTGGGGTGTGAGAGTTCCACGTGAGACTCTGGAGTATAGGTCCCAGTGTGAGGGCATGGGCTTATAGGCTGAGTGTTAGGCCAAACAAGTTGTAGGCCTGGTGTTAGACCATGGATGCCATCTGTGAGGCATGGGACATGGTATAGGGAAGGTTGGATTCATGTATATAGGCCCCTGGCATCCGCTCAAGTAAATGGGCAGCCTCCTGCCTTATTATCATCTTTCAATTGCTAT